TTATCTCTTATTCTGTAAAAAGGTACTTTCATTCGAGGTTTGGAAACAACTGCAATTTACGATCCTAAAACCGAAGAATTTGTTCTCCATACTCCCACATTATCAGCATTGAAATGGTGGCCTGGAAACAGTAAGTATGAATCTTATAATGTCCACACAATTATACTCAGACATTGTATCATAACATGGTTTCTTGGAAACTGCAAGTATGAATCAAACAATGTTCTTACATTTGTACTCACGCACTGCACAGTAAAATGGTGGCATGGAATCTGTATATATGTAACTATGAATTAGACAATGTCTATACAATTGCACTCGCATACTGTACAGAAAAATGGTGACCTGGAAACTGCAAGTATGAATAATTTTTTTACACAAAATCGTACGCGCACACAGTACAGTAAAATGGTGGCCTGGAAACTGTTAGTAATCAAATAACAAGCATTTAAATACCAAACAGTTTATTGAATTTTGCAAAAATGAATGTACCATGTTTTTCATTTATTTGTCTGAAAAATATATGATGTATAAATTGCGTCTAACAGTGTTATCCATCTTTCGTGTAAATGATACTAATTTAACCATTTCATCACATGACGTGACACGCTCAACATCTAATAATTGTAGTATTTGCTAGTGGGAAAAACTGCAACACATGCTGTTGTCTTGGCACAGTTATACACAAACGGAAAAAGCTATGGATTACATCCATTTATTGTGCAGTTACGGAGTCTGGAAAACCACCAACCTTTGCCAGGTATGAACTTCGTTTTGCTTATTATGTTCAGGTATTATATTCGGAGTGTCCTCCTATTTTGATGTGTATCTTGCATATTATGGACTTCAATTGTTGGTATATACCCCATATAGATTCATCCAACATTCAATAACTTTGAATTGATTGGTATGACTGTTCTTGCCCCCCCCAATCATTATCTGAGAACAGCTTGTCAGATTTAAATGAAGCTTAGCACAATTACGTTTTAAGAAATTATCTGCACATTGTTGGCGCACCACATCGCCAATTTTCAGTAATATCATTATCTCAAAATATTAAAATTATGATGTTAATGAAGTCACAAATCGGGACCTGAATCGTTGAATTGAATTGGAAGAACTTTTCACAAGATATTCAGAACAGCTTGTTAAGACCTCAACAACAGAAAGAGTGAAGGTGCTTCCATTTTCTCTACCCTGATTATGCTCATTTAACTAGAAAAACGTCTAATAATTATATTGTAGGTATAACACTTGGTGATATTGGACCGAAGCTTGGATTTCATAGCTTCGATAATGGTTTCCTGGGATTTGATCATGTCAGAATTCCAAGAAGGAATATGCTAATGAAATATTCACAGGTTATTAACAATTTTATTTTGTTGGCAGTGGGTGTCCATGAGATACATAATGTCTGCAATATATTCAACCACACAAAATATTCAGATAGTTATATTACCTGACACTGTGCTCTCATGTTCGTGTTGCTTGCCAATACATTATTTTTTTTCTTGCAGTTTCGTTAACTTGTCCACATTTAATTTTTTGGATCAGCGTAACTTGAGTGTATAATGTGTGTGAGCAGAATTTCAGATTTATAGTCAGATTTATTCATATTTCCTGCTAGGTTTCACCTGATGGATTTTATATTAAACCTATACATGCAAAACTAACATACAGCACTATGGTTGAAGCGCGTGTCACACTTGTCAGTGATATCGCTTATTCGTTATCGCAAGCTGTCACAATTGCTGTAAGATATAGTGCTGTAAGAAGACAAACTGAACAGATTAAAGGGTATATGATAATAATTATTATAATAATATAATAAATATAATAATAATAATAATAATAATAATTAAATGCTAAGTAGCATAATATACAGAGTTGCTAATCTCTTGGTTGTGTTATTGTTTGCAGTGTAAAGGAACCACAAATTTTAGACTATCGAACTCAGCAGTTGAAACTGTTTCCATATTTGGCTGCAGCATATGCATTCACCTTCACTAGTTTTGTTATAACAGGTCGATATATTGAAGTCCAAAATGAAATGAATGATGGCAATATGGAATCACTTTCTGAGGTGAAACAATCATGTATTGGTTGAAATAAGAGATCATGTACTTGGTTAAAAAGAGAGGTTTGGACGATACGTCATATGAGAGATTCATGTACTTGGTTGAAATGAGAGAAAGTTTGGATGATACGTCATATGAGAGATTTATCTACTTGGATGAAATGAGAGAAGGCTAGATGATACGTCATATGAGAGATTCATGTAATTGGTTAAAATGAGAGAAAGCTGGCTGATGCCTCATATGAGAGATTCATGTACTTGGTTATAATGAGAGAAGGCTGGCCGATGCCTCATATGAGAGATTCATGTACTTAGTTGAAATGAGAGAAGGCTGGCTGATACGTCATATAAGATGTTCATGTACTTGATTGAAATGAGAGAAGGCTGGCTGATACGTCATATAAGATGTTCATGTACTTGGGTGAAATGAGAGAAGGCTGGCTGATACGTCATATAAGATGTTCATGTACTTAGTTGAAATGAGAGAAGGCTGGCTGATACGTCATATAAGAGGTTCATGTACTTGGGTGAAATGAGAGAAGGCTGGCTGATACGTCATATAAGATGTTCATGTACTTGATTGAAATGAGAGAAGGCTGGCTGATACGTCATATAAGAGATTCATGTACTTGATTGAAATGAGAGAAGGCTGGCTGATACGTCATATAAGAGATTCATGTACTTAGTTGAAATGAGAGAAGGCTGGCTGATATGTCATATAAGAGATTCATTTACTTGATTGAAATAAGAGAAGGCTGGCTGATACGTCATATAAGAGGTTCATGTACTTGGGTGAAATGAGAGAAGGCTGGCTGATACGTCATATGAGAGGTTCATGTACTTAGTTGAAATGTGAGAAGGCTGGCTGATACGTCATATAAGAGATTCATGTACTTGGATGAAATGAGAGAAGGCTGGCTGATATGTCATATAAGAGATCCATGTACTTGATTGAAATGAGAGAAGGCTGGCTGATACGTCATATAAGAGATTCATGTACTTGATTGAAATGAGAGAAGGCTGACTGATACGTCATATAAGAGGTTCATGTACTTGGATGAAATGAGAGAAGGCTGGCTGATACGTCATATAAGAGATTCATGTACTTAGTTGAAATGAGAGAAGGCTGGCTGATACGTCATATAAGAGATTCATGTACTTGATTGAAATGAGAAAATGCTGGCTGATACGTCATATGGGAGACTCATGTACTTGGTTTAAATGAGAGAAGACTGGCTGATACGTCATGTGTGGTGTATCTCTCTCACTGAGTTTCTACTGTACTTAATATACATTGTGTGAAACAGCATGCAATTTGTTATATCGCCAATAATCACACAATAATAATGACATGCCTGATGTATGCTATTGATCAGAATTTGAATTTTTATTCATCTTACAGTGAGATACATAAAACATGAGGAAGTGTGAATGTGTTAGCCATGCATGAAACATTTTCTTTGTATACATCATCCCAGCAACATGTAAATAACCATCTTACTTTCTTCGTGTGTTTTTTGTTATATTCCACAAAACCTGTCTGAATGAATAAGTTCATTGAGGTGGCAATGAATATTTCCAATAACTAAGCAAGATTTCTTTTTGTTAACCTAAAATTCTATTTGGTTTTCTAGTTACATGCTCTCTCAGCTGGTTTGAAAGCTTTCACATCATATGTTGGGAATGAAGGAATTGAAGTTTGTCGCTTGTCATGTGGTGGACATGGGTATTCACAAGCAAGTGGATTTCCTGAATTGTACACATTAACAGCACCCATCAGTACCTTTGAAGGAGAAAATACAGTTATGTTGCTGCAAACTGCTAGGTGACTATTTACCTCGTACCTCTGTAATGCACAGGTGTTGTGCAGTAATGGCAATTTCCTCAGTACATAGTATTCGTATGTACACAGTGAATATGGTAATTGCAGTGTCTGTCCTGAATGTATCGATAAAAAAGCTACTGAAACAGTACGTAGTAGTACTGACATACATATTATGATTTATTGTTTATTTTCAGATACTTAATGAAGTGTGCCACTACTGCAAAACGTGGTTTGGAGCTTCCAAGATTTGTTTTGTATTTGAGTCAACGTCAGAAAGGTCAATGCCCTGCTAGGAATGAAAGTGACTTATTGGATCATGGATTACTATCTGATGCATTTGAGCACAGAGCTCGCAGGTAATGTTTAGACTAAATATGTATACATATATGTGTAACATAAGACATTTGAGCAGAGAACTCGCAGGTAATTGTTAGACCAAATATGTAAACATATATGTGTAACATAAGACATTTGAGCAGAGAACTCGCAGGTAATTGTTAGACCAAATATGTAAACATATATGTGTAACATAAGACATTTGAGCAGAGAACTCGCAGGTAATTTTTAGACCAAATATGTAAACATATATGTCAACACAAGACATTTGAGCAGAGAACTCATAGGTAATGTTTAGACCAAATATGTATACATATATGTGTGACATAAGACATTGGAGCAGAGAACTTGCAGGTAATGTTTAGACAAAATATGTAAACATATATGTCAACACAAGACATTTGAGCACAGAACTTACAGGTAATGTTTAGACTAAATATGTATACATATATGTGTGACATAAGACATTTGAGCTGAGAACTCGCAGGTAATGTTTAGACCAAATATGTAAACATATATGTCAACACAAGACATTTGAGCAGAGAGCTCATAGGTAATGTTTAGACCAAATATGTAAACATTTCGTCTTTTATATATATAAAGTAGATACGAAAGTCGATTACTCGATAAACAAAGTGCTCATACAAAGTATATGTAGAGCGTACAACATTTTTTTAATAAAATAAGTA